CAGCTTCTTAGAATCAGCTTTTTTGAGTTAAAATAAGCTGTTAGAATCAGAAACTGTTTAAAATAAGTTTAACCAAACAGTCCAAAATAACTTTTTCGAAACTAAAAGCCATAAGTTGGCTCTGAAAAGCTGAAACAAACACCCCAAAATCTGACAAAACCCTCATACATAGAGGTGGATTCTCACCAAAGTATTGTCCGGTGCACATAAAAGAGTTGTTTTTTTAACCAGGCACAACTTTCTTTTTTGAATAGTGAGGTTAGATTCCCTCACGCACAATAGTGTGTACAAAAGTAAAAAGATGATTACCAATTGCATTCCGGTCTCATCGCGAATACCACCACCACCTGAAGCATAATTTACACCCATGAGAATGTCTCTGCCTCTAGCGGTTGCAAACGGTGGAATAAAATGATCAAAACCTAAACGTTGACCTGGAAGGTGAAGTATAGTTTATATGAGCACCATAATTATGTCCAAATAAAGATTGAATAATCTTATGATGGTAGTCTTATGTCCAACAAAAATTAGATGAACATCCAACTCTACCATCTTAAGATCATAACATTATTGTACGAAAAACTTGTTTTGTTGGCGTTTGAAAAAGTGTTTTGTGTAGATTTTGGACATGTAAGAAATGTTTAGACACAAATGCCATGGATAAAAAGTTATTCCTATGAGCAATGCCAACAAAAATACATTCAAGTCCAAAATCTTAATGATAATAATTATAGAGTAAGAAGAGACCAATGATGTCTGACATAGTTCGACCGTTGCAAAATCTTCCAGTAGGTCCATCAGAGAAATCAATACCATATGGCTGGTAGTTGGCTTTTGCTGCAGTTGCAAGGTAATTATTATTGCCATTATCGGCCAATGAATCTCCAAAGATAAATAAACAAGGCACCTCTGGTGTAGCATGAACTGAATGTTGCAAGTTTGCAACTAATGGTATTAGCGACATATCTTTGAATGATATATTCATATATATAACATATAATAAATATATAAAATTATATATTTCATGCGTGTCCTGCATTTTTTTAAAATTAACGTGTCAGCGTGTCCGTGTCGTGTTCGTGTCGTGTCACGTGTCCGTGTCCATGCTTCTTAGATTGTAATGTAATGTAAGCAATGTATGTTTATGGTTTAATATTTCATCCTAGTTGTCTGAGTATTAAATTTGTGCGCATAAATGTAATTGAATGTTTGAGTACTCATTTTCCATTTGGCAACAAATTTTGCAAAGTTAGAGCTTTAGTTGGCATTGTGCAACACCCTTGTGCCCTTGCTAAGAAAGCAAGGGAACAGAAAGTAAATTAAATGGCTTGCCTGTTTAAAAATGGAAGTACTAGAGTGTTAATTATCCCCAATTTATGTTATCGTGGGGTGAGGTAGCTAGTTTTTTTGCCTTGGGGATACGCTATTGCTTATTATTGAAGAATTTTAATTTGGGTTAATGTCAAAGGTTATAGAACTGTACAAGATTAGAACACCATATTTAGTTGATTTCTTCCTAGTGATATAATAATTAATACTGGTGAATAATTTGTACATATTTGTTGAAGGATAAATTTTTACCATGTTTAGGGTCAATTTCGTAACACTTCATGACCTCATTTCCCAAAAACTTATAGACTCAACAGTAAACACCCACATGCACACAACCATACAAACATTTTTTTTTTTTTTTATCAGCAAAAAGAAAAATTTTATTGATGAAATGAACATACATTGCATATGACACTACATCAATAAAGAAGAGGCAAGAGCAAGGAGCATCATAGCATTACTCCCTAATCCCAACTAGGTTGGCACCAAGGAGAACACCCAATCATATACTAGCTCAAGCCAAAAATTGGTGAGATACCATCAAAGAACAAACTAGCTAAACAAACAACAAGTCACAAGATGAGTTCACAACCACAACAGACAGCCACAACTAATGGAAACACTACACCAATCAGCAGCAACTAAAATTCACTTCTACATCACTTCATCCCAAGCTGCTAACCTGTAGCAGTGGCAAAAGCAAAGCAGCAGCAGCAGCAAAACAGTAGCAATAACAGCAGCAGCAGCAGCCAAACACCACTAGGAGACCCTGCAATTTCCCTGCCTCCAAAACACCGAACTCAAATCATCACCAATCCAATGCATCAGCAGAACCAACATCCACACAACACATACTAACCTGCGGTAGATCTAATCTGCTTCATACAATGCACCAGATCATGCACTGAAAACACACATCTGGGATTATTATATTTCACCCACAGTGCAATCCTGATTTTTACCAACTCACAAAGTTGCTCCACCTGCGGCTGAGTTCCTCTAAAGACACAATCATTTCTGCATTTCCACATGTACCACAATAAAGCCATAGGAATTGTTTTCCAAACCATCCAATCAAACTTTTTAAACTTAAACCCAGCCCACCAATTAAGAAGCCCCTCAATTGATCCAGTTACTACCCACCGTAAACCCCACCAATCCACCAGATTAGACCACACTTTCCAAATTGATGGGCACAACAAAAGCACATGATTAACAGATTCAACATCGGAGTTGCAAAAAATGCAGATGTTACTAACATTCCCATTTAATACACCAATACGCTGCAGATAATCCATGGTTTTAACCCTCCCCTTCCAAGCCACCGCCCAAAGAATTATGATTTAGAGGGAGATAAATTATTCCAGATCAGGGAGAGACAATAGAAATGACATCAGTCTCATTTCTATTGTACATAGAGGCAACACTGAACTCACCTGAAGGAGATGCTAACCATCTTAGGCAATCATCAAGGTCTGTCACTAAGGACATAGCAGCATTTAGCATAATGTTGAGACTTCTAACCTCAGCCATCTCCCAAGCTCTTAGCGGTCTTCTGAATGTCAACACCCAAACTTCTGAATTGCCTTTCTTTTCCAACAGCATCCCAAGGGAGTCCTCTTTCTCCATTGATAGCATGAACAATCTTGGAAATAAAGCTTTCAGACATTGATCTCCAACCCAATTATCAGTCCAAAATCTAATTCTCGATCCATTTCCAGCAACAATCCTAATTTTTGACGGATAAAAGTTTCCCATTTGGACATTACCAATAGCTACTGAAAGGATGTCACGCCATAATCTTGAGACTCTGCTAGTATCTTCCAAGAATGGCAGCCAACTCCAACCAATAGAAGCATACTTGGAACAAATGACTTTTTTCCATAATGCCTCATCTTCATTACCATATCTCCTCCACCACTTTGAAAGCAAGCAATCATTGAAGTCTCTAATCCTCTTGATTCCCAAACCTCCTTTATTCTTGCCTTTTGTGATATCTGTAGACCGCCCCGAACTCGCTCCGCACGCGAGGGCGCGAATTGGGTTCTAGCTATTACAGTTCGGACTCCTGTCACGGTTCTGAATCTAATCTCACAAAGTGCGATGTAAGACTGATAAATCACTAAAGAGTCCAAATCTAGCAAATCGTTTTGGAAAATCGATTTTAACCAAAAAGCGCCAAACATGGGCTCTTTGTCAGATTTCAGAGTCGCCACCTAAATATTTTATTTTGAGAATTTTAGGAAACCTTGACTCGTGCCAAAGGCCACGCGTCCGTCATCACCAAAGTTGCCTCGGCTCAGGAACTTGGGTACGAGAGGGGAAGGTCCTGAAATGAGCACCCCCGCTCTCCCGATCAAAGATCGGCCTCTACTAACATGATATGTTGTTTTTGAAAACACATGTGTTCTTATTCCGGTTTATTAGACTAGCTTACTATGTGATGCGCACAGCATTCAAGTATAGACTAAATCACTCGATTTAGAACAAAACATCTCATGTTTGTTTTTTGAAAAAATGGTTTGAAAGTGCTACTCGCAAATAGGCTAAAGCGCGAATTTGCCACCCTCAAGTGGGCTTGAAAACATGATTTTGCCACTCCAAGTGGGCTTAAAAAGCATAATTTGATGAATTATTCCAATTCAAGCAATGAAGCCTTCATCCACAGGCATTCATGCAGTTAAACACATAAGCACGTAGCCTCATGGCAAGTATGCTATCATGGCAGTCACTTACACACATGCAAGGATGCTAAAGCATAAACACTCACAGTGTACTCCAAGCCAAAAAAGAAGCTAGTTAGAAATCAATACATAATCCTAGCTATGTTAAGATGCCTAATGCAACACATGCAAAAAATGCAGCTAAAAGGCTCGACTATTCTAAGATGGCATATGAATGCAACACTCGATAACATGCTTTGAAACACGTATTCAAGTAAGTATTGAAATTCAATGCAGTTTGTATGATGCGCCGAACCCGGTGCATGCAAGACAAATGAAAGATGAATGATGCACGCATGCATAGCATAAGGTATGCTAATTGAGATATGCCCTAAACTAACCATCGAAAGCTGATAAGTAAAAAGGAGAAAGAAATGAGGTTGGAAGACATGCATCACACACACGCACACTTATTACAGCATTTTCCCTCTCGACCGAGGGTCCGAATAATAAGCTAATTAGCTACCCTAATTAAACTAATTATTACAAACCAAAACTAATTAACTATTCCTAGTTAACTAATTATTACAAAACAAATTGATTAATTAGGCACATTAACTAATTAAGTACAAAACCGACGAATTAGCTAACTAAGTAAAGCAGCTAAAGCAGTTAAAAGAGGTCCTCGGGGCGAGAGGTGCATGCATGCTCGATCGCCTCGCTCGGAAATCCATTACAATGCCCAGAATTGCCTCTGTTTGCATTTGATTTGATCTCTGAAAAGTGCACTAACTTCCAGATTGCTTCTGCTCCAACATGGGGACCTCCTGGTGGGCTGCCGACCAGAAAAAGGGGCTGTAGACCAAAAAAATTGGTCGGCCGACCACCCTTACTGGTCGGTCGACTACTCCCTGTGGTTGGTCAACCAGCTGATTTGCCAAACTCTTGTTTTGCTGCAACAGAGAACAATAAGGGGTATAGCAGTGTATTTGCAAGATATGTGTGCACAACCACCCTCCCTATCATTTCTCAAGCTCAAGGGAGTGCGGTACTCGACTCTCGGGCCACTAACCGAGCATCGCAATGCACGATGGCCAAGAAGCCAAGTTTGCACAAGTCAATATCAATAAATGCACAAATAACACATAAGGGCCTCCACCTCTATCATGCTTGATCAAGAGGGTCGGCGACCAAGAAATGCTACACGTTTCATCACTTTGAGTATGAAACGTGCGACATTCCTCATGTTTGGATTAACGTCCAATCTAAACACATGCAACGCAAACAAGATGATCAACCTTTAATGCTAAAGTGACCTGCACAAGACTCTATCATGTAAGCAATGCATGCATGGCATGTTTAAAAGCTAAGGCATCAAAGCTAATGAAACATATTACACATGAGGCATGCACTATCAATCTCAAATGGTCAAACCAACCCCGGACAGAGGTCGAACATGCTAAAACAGTGGCTAAAATATGTTAAGATCAAGGCATACAACACAAGGAGAACATGCTCATTTGATGGCTCATTAACAATGCACAAAGACACAACCCTCAAAAACTCTCAAGGAGTGAAAGAAGTGAGAACATGACATATGTATATGCTCTGAAATAACATGTTAAACGATGCCAAGACATGCAACCATCACAAATATAACATAGTAGGGTGCTCAAAACTCAAGACTAGATAAGACACTTGCACCATAGCCATATCAAGCAAGCCCCAAAGGGCCAAGATGACTCAAAACAGTCCCAAGGCAGGTCAAAACAATGCCAAAATATGCATGGAGTATAGCTAACACATGCTAGAACGGGAGGCATAAAGCACGACGCATGCAAGGCCAATGAGTGGGATTACACTACACATACCAAAACCAAGCATGAGGTGACTTCACCAACAAAATCAAAGTTGTAACATGGTAAAATAACACCAAAAACATGCTGAGATGGTAGCCCAAAAGCTTAGACAAGCATGCATACATATTGGCTCATAAGTAAAGCATAAGGCTCAACCCTCAAACACAACAAAGGGATGATAAATGCGAGAATATGGCAGAGGTATATGGTCTGAAATAACATGCCAAATGATGCCATGCCATGCAAAAAACTCAAATATGACATGCTAGAGGTCTCAAAGCTTAAGGCTAACAAAGCCAAATGCACTACAGCTATGCAAAGCCAAGCATGCATGACCAAGACCACTTAAAACAGAGCTTAAGCATGTTAAAATATGAGTAAAAGCCTGCTGGAGTGGAGCCAAAACATGCTAGAATGGTGGTCTAAAGCATAAAGCATGTTAGGCTAGCAAGGAGGATTGCACTACAAGTACATGAAGCATGCAACAAGTAATCAAACCAACCCAAAACAGAGTTATAATATGTTAGAAAAGTCACAAAAACATGCTAAGATAGAGCCTCAAGAAGGTAGAAAAACATGCCAAAGTGTTAAGCCAACAACATATGCAAACAAAACACAAGAGGGGGGGACCACCCCCATCTATTTTGGGTCTCAAAACCCACTTTCCACCACTGAAATTCCTCTAGATTTTAGTGGTGAGAAGGCCAAAATAAGGTGATCCCAATAGCTTAAAAGGAAGGTTCAAAACCAAAGCAAAGCAAAACAAGCCACCAAAGGGGGTAAACCACCCCTAACTCAAACAAAGTCTCAAACAACCTTTTTAAACACTTTAAAACAAAGGTTTTTGTAGTTGAAAACAAAGCCTAAAATAGCATGCAAAGGTGGCTAAATAAGCAATGAAAATAATGCTTTAAAGTGGGAAAAGGACTCACCCTTGAAGAACAACAAGAACAGCAACTTCTTGAGCTCAAAACCAACTTTTTGAAGCTCCCTTGAGACCCTCCAGCACCTTAGCAACAAAGTAGGAGTGTTTGGCTAAGAGGTTGTGTGCAAAAGTGTGAAGAAAATGCAATTCTAAGCACTATAAGGCACAACAATATAGAGAGAGAGAAATCTAGAGAGAGAGTAGATATTTTTTGGCTTCTCAAAATTCTGAACCCCTTGGAAGGGGGAGAGAACTCCCCTTATATAGAATATGCAAGCCAAAGCTTGCTTGAATCCCTTCCTACACGTGCAGGGAGGATGCATTCTGTACCTAACAGCTGGCACCAAAAATATCTGCAAAAGCAGAAAAAAGGCCGTAGACCACTTAAAGTGGTCGACCGACCACCCCCCCTAGTCGACCGACCACCTCAGGTGGTCGACAAGGGAAAAAAAACTGGCTGGCAGGGGAGAAAAAGGGTCTACAAAGAGAGGAGAAGGTGGTCGCAGGCTGCAGACCACTTAGGCTGGTCGACCGACCACCCACCCTAGCTGATCGACCACCAAAAGTGGTCTACAGGGGAGAAAACTGGCTGGCAGGGGAGAAAAGTGGTCTACACCCCTACTTCTCCCTCCAGGCAAAAGGGGCACCAAGGTTTGGCTTAAAACAAGCACAAAACCAAGAGAGTTCAGAGACTCAGGGGCAAGGCGCCCAACCGGAAGCCCCGGGGACTCCAAACGAGCGCAAACATGCGCAATCATCGAGCGCTCAATCGATGACGACCAAGTCTTTAGGACGGTCAAAAATGGGGTGTCTACAATATCCCCCCACTTAACCATGTGAATTTTCTTCTTTAGATTTGCACCTCCTCACAAAAATGAAGCTTGCACTTTATCAATTATTTTTGCCACACCTTTTGGCACCTTGAACAACAAAAGGTAATAGACAAGTAAACTTGATAACACAGATTTAATCAAAGTAAGTTGTCCCTCAAAGGATAGAAACTTCCTTTTCCAAGAGGCTAACTTGAGCTTAAACTTGTCAATTACAGGTTTCCAAGTGGCTAGTCTTCTGGGGCTTGTCCCTAATGGCAACCCAAGGTAGGTAAAGGGAAGTTTCTGGCTTTTGCAATTAAGCAAATCTGCGAATTCAGACACTACATTTTCAGCCACTCCCACCCCACAAACACTACATTTTCATACAAACATATTATACGATTATACTAGAACGCAATATGACTCAACTAATCCTTCAAACAATCAGTCATGATTTCTCTCTCTATTCTGTAAAAAAACATCACCACTTTTTTTCTTTGTAACAGACTCTCTATTCCTCAGTTTTCCCACTCTTTCATAGCTCCTCAAAAATAATAAAATAGAATGTTTATGTTAGCCCCCATTGAGCATTTTCTTATGATTGCTAAATTATTTTTGAAAGCCTCAACCAAACACTAGAAGTTGTGAAGGAAAATTATTATTATTTTTTCATGTAAAATAATTTTCAATATAAAATGTTTTATATTAACATAGATGAGCATTAGTTTATTTTTTCCTTAATGGCATCATGCACTATGTATGATCACAATTTTGTGGTATTTTTGTCTATTTACCCGGTAAATAGGATTTGATGCACATTGTTTCCTTTTAAAATTTTATTCTCTCTTTCAACTAATGGCAGGTCTTGCAGGCTCATTACTACTAACATAACCATGTCAAGAAGGTCCTCTCGACGTTTTGCAGATGTTGGGAATATTCCATTTATGGGCTCCCTCCAACCCAAAACTCACTCCTCACCTTTATTATCAATTGGACTTGTGGTTGTGGTAAATCTCAGTTCCATCGCTATATTACCAAATCAGTACATTAACAACTGGAATTTCTCTTGGATGAGCAAATATGCTCGGTAAAATCTCTCAATTGATGCCTCTATTAGTATTACAACCCAGGCACTGCACAGAGTTTCTTATAGTGTATTAAGTTTTGTTGCTTAAGTTCTGATTAATATTGCTTTTTTTCTTTTCAAATTTTCAGGGTGCATTTCTCATAATCTGGTATCTGTACAGTGGCTCAGGTCTGCATTTTGTTTGTCAACTTGAATACTCATTTCTAGAAATGAGCTAAAACATCTACATTCTAACCTTTTGGCTTTTGTGTGGTTGGTGGATCTAGCAGTGCTATAGAGGCTGTAAGTAAACTTGAAGGTAAATAGTTGTGATCTCTTGTTGAAGCCCTTGCTCTCTTGTTTCTAATAGGACTAATACAATTTAGTGAATTGGACATGACTAGTACGTAAAGTATTTTATGTGGATGCATAACCTAAAGCTTTATCATTTGATCCTTTATTATTGGAGGCTTGTAGAGTTTCATTGGAAATATTTATTTATGATAGCATCCTTATATCAAATGGAATAAGTAATTTTGGGGAAATTTCTAATTATGAGGATGCACACCAAGTAAAATATTTACATAGTTTGCCATCACCCTATCAGTCAACATTTGGAACTTCTAATATGTTTTCTCATATCATCACTTTTTCCGTTCCTATGATTTTACTTTTAACTTTATCCTTGATCGTGCATTTACGGTGGACTCCTGACCAAATTGATTCTTTTGATATATATGTATTTACATGTATGTATATTTTAGTTAAAAAGGCAGTAAGTTAGATGTAACTTCCCTCTTGATGGTTGAATGTTGTTTGACTGCAATAGTTCATTTACATAGTTGCTGATGTTTTGTGGATGGCTTAGATAGCTTATCTACAAAGGACTTGATTTAGGTACCTAATATTGATTATGCAGCCTAAAGATGTTTAAGGGAAAAGATTAGGTATGCTCTGCTATACAGATTATCTAGTTGCTTTTAGAGTTTTTACAATCTAACTTTCAAACTATGGACAAAAAAAATATGATTGATCATTGATGCTCTTTGTAAAAATATATATTGTATATATGGTATATTAGGAATTAGGCAATTTTAGGCAATTCCCTTTTTTTTGTATTTTTTTTTTTCTGTCATAGATTAGGGCTATATAACTGATGTACTCTTTGTAAACATACACAATTGAATATACAGAAATCATTCAGAAATCTTACATGGTATCAGAGCCTATCCTAGCATTGGGCTCTGCCTCTCGTCATTGCTCCCTCTCTGATTCTGGTTCATCATCGCAATGTCTTGCTCACTGGAAAGTTCGTGAGACCCTTCTCCATGTGTGTCTGGTCACGAAGACTCACCATTGACCACGCTTCTAGTTCACAAAACCCTCAGTTGTTCGAATTTCTGAAGCTCAGTACATCGCGGCTTGTTTGACCCATATCGTGACTCATATCGCGACCTCTGCTTCTTGCCTCTATCACATCTAGTTTGCATCAACTTCAGCTTCTGTCGGCTCTCTCTCTGTCTCTCTCTATCTCTGTGTTCGTCTGGTGCGAAGGGCTCTTGTTCTCGGTTCAGTTGGTTTGTGGGTTCTGATTTAGGTTTATTACTCCTAACCCCTCAGTTGTTTTTGGTTATTACCCTTGACCCTAGTTTGGCTAATTTGTTCTATCTTGGAGTTATTGCACTTGAGACCCTCATCTCTCTGGTTACTACGATGTCTTTAGCCTTTGATGAGTGTGCCTTCTGCCATCAGCGAGGCCATTGGAAGTATCATTGTCCCAAGAAGGGATGTCTGTCTGGCTCGTATTATCAGCAGTCTCGGACCCATTTTTTCCCTTCTTCTCCGAGTAATCTTCAGGCTTCTGTCGGTTATACTACATCTGCTCCAGCTCCTGATCTTGACTTGGCTTCCTTGAGTGCTCAGATTAGTCAACTTCAGGATACACTGTCTACCTTCCGGCCATCCCCGTCTGCCTCTATTGTTTCCTCTCTTCATTCAGGTTTGCTTGAGTCTTGTTCAGGTATTTCTTCGTCTGTCTGTATTTTTGACTCCGGTGCCTCTCATCATATGACTCCTCATCTTCCCTTACTTCAAAATTGTACTCCTCCTCCCTTTCCTATTATTGTCAATACTGCTAATGGGTCTGATATGTCTATTATATCTGTTGGGTCTGTCCTACTATCTGCTATGTCTACTGTGTCTATTCCATCTGTCTTTTATGTTCCTCAGTTATCTGTCATTTTATTATCTATCAGTCAGCTTGATGCCTCTAGTTTTGATGTTATCTTTTCTTCTTCTATCTGTTCTGTGCAGGATCGGATGTCTAAGTAGCAGATTGGGACTGGCCGTAGAATTGGAGATCTCTATGTGGTAGAAAGCTTGCATCTGCCTATGACTACCTCTCCGACTGCCTTTTCTTCTTTTCAGTTAGATTCTCTGTCTAGTCCTTTCTATTTGTGGCATTCCAAATTAGGGCATTTGTCTGCTGACCGCTTACGGTCTTTAGCTCAGTTAGGTATATTGGGTAAAGTTTCTCCTAATCAACTTACCGAGTGTCGAGGGTGTAAGCTTGCCAAAATGACAGCCTTACCTTTCCGTAACAATACTTCTATATCTGCTACACCGTTTTCTTTAGTTCATACTAATATCTGGGGCCCTTCTCCTGTCCTCACCAAGGGGGTTTCTGCATACTATGTGTCATTTGTTGATGATTGCATCCGTTACGCTTGGGTTTATCTTATGACTAGTAAGTCCGATTTCTATCAGATATACTGTACCTTTCAGTCTATGATTATGTCATGATCCAAACCCGCTCCTATAGGTTTAGCGTCGTAACTAGTCAGTAATCCGTGATTACCGAAGGCTTGTTTAACAATAATGACAATAATACAATATGAAGGGGATGGCGGAAGCCAATCAATAATAACATACATCATCCAATGAGCTGTGAGGACCTGAATAAAAATAAATTTACATATATGTAGTTATATCCATAAACACTTATGTCCATAAAACACACATATATATAAGACAAAACACAAGTTAGGGAATTAAATCCCATTATCAAAAATAATATTAACAAAAGTCATAAAACACTCTTTTCAGTTAGCAATACCAAAAGGGTGAATTTGAACCACCCAAAAAGCCTTGACACATGGCTCGGAACCTCGCGATGAGGCACAATAGCTGGCTTGACAAAACAAGGGTTTGGGTCGACGCCACTAGCTTTGATCCGGTGCTCGATCACCTACAAATATATAGTAAACAGTGAGCTAGAGCCTAATAAATAACAGCTGTGTAAAGAGATTAAGAATGATGTCCTTACAATATTTGAAACAGTCGATTATCAATAGAATAGTTACAATCAATATCTTTCTGTCAATCAATCGTTCAATCGTACAATTCAATCAATCATATTTGTATAGGTCATATGTGGTACATCCAATAGCAACAATACAATAGGTCTTAAAGACCGAAAAATCAATTGATGGCCATCAAACAATAGACAATAGTTCTAAAAATTGGACCTGATAGAGATCTGTATAACAGTAGCGATAACAATATCATTAACAATAACAATATGTTAAAGATGCCACGAATATAGTTCAGAAAATAGGATCATCATTCAATCGATAAAAAGTATCATTCCGAAAAACAATATAATTTATCAATCAGAAAATAAATACGATTAAACATATCTTTACAACAATGTTACTCATAGTGGGCTCTTGAAAAGCACGTGCTAATCGTTCGGCATCCGACCTAAACAAATAAGTCAAGCACAACACGATTACAATTGCACTCTTACAATCTATTTAATTCGGTTACTTGTTTGTCTTTCGGTTTCTCTCATTTGATTCTAATTTTTCATTTGGTTATTCTATATTTTCTTCCTTCCATTCCTCTTAAATATGGATGACTAGTATTAGGAATTAATTAGATTATTAACCTCCAATTAAGATATGTTTAGCTATGAATTACTCAAACTAATTAAATATAAATAATTGAATCATATACAAACCCTTATTAAGTTCACTAATTACACAATCAAACTTAAATTAGGCTCATACACATTAAATTGCAATTATTCAGTCATGTTTAAATTACTGAATCAGAAACTCATAAATATATACATTTTGCAATTTCAACTCCATGTTCAAGCAAATCAAAGCCCAAATAATTAATTTTCACATTTATTTCCATAATCTTAAACCTAACTCAATTTCAATTGAATTTATTAATTCTCAATTAAGGCTTAATTTGACTACATCTAATTTTATGAACCTAAATCAGCTTTTTAGTTGAATTCTTATAAGGCTCTAAATATCAAATTAAACTCATTCTTCCATTTTTGAAACTCAATTTCATGAAACATCCATTTTCTTAAACTCAAGCTCTAATTCATGCTTAATCTCTCCTTAAACTCCATGAATCATGGTTAAAACAAGTTTAGAACCAGTTCTCTTAAGAATATGCCATGCATGTAAGGATTATGAGTTAAATTGATCAGTTCTTCAATTTTTTTTAACATGCATGCCCTAAGTTCTCAATTACATGAGCAAATCTTCTAATTAATTATAAATTCAACTCAATTAAGCTTATGATCTTCCTATTTGAACCTAGATTCTATGAATTAACAGTGTATCATTTCAACTTCATGAATTAGGAGGTGGAAATTACCTTAGTTTGATGATTTAATTCAATATGAACTAAGCCCCTTCTTTTTTCTTTCTTTAGTTCTTCTTTGAGCTCAAACTCTCATTTCTTTCCTCTCTCTCTCTCTCTCTCTCTCTCTCTCTCTCTCTCTTTGTGGGTCTTGTTTGGTGTGTTAAATGGAAGACTCAATATAATAAACAAATCAATATAATAAGCAACCAAATACTCTCTCTCTTACTATGTTAAAAACTGAGTAGTATTCTACATTAAAATTGTCATTAATTAATTCAACTTTAAACCATTAAATCATTCTAATCAAGTTAAATAAAAATCAAAGTTACACAAATTAAATTAATCTTCACCACAATAAAATCTTAGTTACACTAAATTTAATTATATTAGTGTGAATTAGGCTCTAATTCCTATCCTATTATGTAATTCTAACTTCTTAAAATTAGCGAATCAGACAGGTTTAATTCCTTTTCTAACCTTTCTGTTCAATCAAGCAAGTCAATAACAAGCACTCAATTAACAATAAACATATAATCAATTAATTAAATTATAAGCAAGTCAATAATTATCAAGACAATCAATAACAGTTAAGCACATAAGCACTCAATTAACAATAAACATATAATCAATTAATTAAATTATAAGCAAGTCAATAATTATCAAGACAATCAATAACAGTTAAGCACATAAGCACTCAATTAACAATAAACATATAATCAATTAATTAAATTATAAGCAAGTCAATAATTATCAAGACAATCAATAACAGTTAAGCACATAAGCACTCAATTAACAATAAACATATAATCAATTAATTAAATTATAAGCAAGTCAATAATTATCAAGACAATCAATAACAGTTAAGCACATAAGCACTCAATTAACAATAAACATATAATCAATTAATTAAATTATAAGCAAGTCAATAATTAT